CTCAACCCAAAAAGTGATCTCTCAAATCGTCATGGTAAACTTTTGCCCCTCTAGCAGTAACCTTAAGCTGCAGCATGCCAGTAGATATATAGAGGCGAAGGGGTACATGCAAGCTCATCTATTTCACATGAATTCGCCCTAGCAGATCTACACAGTGGCATGGTGTGTTCATGTGCATGTGATGAATGATTCTCTGCAAACAGAGTTCTGATGATGAGTAGTAGTAATAATTCATAGATTTGAGTTCCATTGACATCCTGAGTGGTGTGCTTACTGGCTGCCGGTGGCCAGAATACGGTTATGACCAGAGTCCAGAGGAGTGGTAATTCATAGGTTCATGAGTTCCAACTAATCGATGAGTTGCATCCATGTACAATAGCTCACCAACACCTAACCCATGAGCAGGATGCAGCGAAGCTCGTATTATAAATTGCCAGACACTGTTTCTAAAAGTGAAAGTGTATATTAGACACGGGCACACAGATACTGAAACAAAAAAAAAATCTTTTACCTCCTGGTCTTCAATGAATGTAACATCCTAGATGTTAAAGGCTAATTAAAATTTTGAACATGAGCATCATGAAGCATAATCATCAAGCATTGTGTCATTAATACATTTCATGTCTTTATTATAGCATGTAAATGTTGCTTATGTGGTGTTTTAATTGTTACATGAAATGTTATTAGTGATAGTGATTAAGGAACTTTGTGAATTTACATATGTGAAATTTCTTAAGCATTTAAATTTTGCTAAAATAAAACTTTGTAGTATTAAGTGTGTGCTTTGATATAGAATTAAAATGTGATGATGTTTTTAAGTCAAACATGTTGAATTTGAGCATCAAAAATTGAATTTATAATTGTCATTCTCTCACTTAGCATTTTAGCCTGTACCTGAAAAAGTGTTTGAGTTCAAGCTTTGGTGAATTATTGAATCAACTTTCACAAATAAAAGTTAGGTAACTTTTATTTCATTGTTTGGTAGTATGCTTGATCTGTGATGATGTATAATTGGTTGTGATGTTTGATAGATGGTTGTTCACTAATTAATTGTCCAAAGTTGCTTAACTAAAACAAGTTGCAAAACCCTAACTGAATTTTAGCTCTGCAGTTTCAAAGTAACCATCTTCAAACTTCGAAATCTCTTAAACCTGTGTTTGTTTGATGTTGGTCACTTAAGCAATGTTGGGGATCTCATGAAGATGAACAAGTTTTAGTAAAAGAGTTTTTGAGTTTCGTCAACACGCAAAGCACAAAAATGTCAACACGACAAGCGGAAGGATCTCGCTTGGGATGAGCCGGAGATCCGCTTGGCTTCAACGCAGGACCAGCCAATCCTGCTAATTCCCAAAGGCGTGCCAGTCAATTTAACCTGTAATTGACAAGAAGAGAAAATTTATCAGTAATTTAAGGTGGAACATGCCGGTTTTACCCAGACAGTTCCAAGTGTGCCGCTTCGAGAGCAGACAGACGGGAAAATCAACTAAATAGCCGATACGAAAAGAAATCGACCGTTAGGGACTGCAAAGCTCGCGGGTCATGATTGATTTTATAGTAACGAATACAATGTACCCAGATGTAAGTAACATCATCAGCTAGACAAGTATAATCAGTGTAAAGCATTGAGCCGATAAGTTCAACAAGAAAGGATGTAACATGCGAATAAATCGACTGTCTAGTACAAATGGATCTACAAACGTTCTGAATCTGATCCGTTGCCATCAACAGTGAGGTTCGACCGGATCGATACAGCTATGATGATAACAACAAACTAAAGCCAAAGAATTTATAAAATCATCTATACGTTGACAGATTTCTGAAAGACATGCTATATGTGTGAAAGCACAAGCGAATCAGCTAAAGAGCCGATTCAGGTAGAAAAAGGATCATAGCATGTGAACAATCGACTATTCAATACGAGCAGACCTATAAACTCCTCAAATCTAGCCTATTATCTTTAACAGTGGGGTTCGACCGGATCGATGGCTGTCATAATAAAGATAACAGATTAAACCTTTAAAGCAAACAGATATATTCACATTTAACAGAATTATGAAAACACACTATGAGCGTTAAAGTGCGGGCGATCGGCTATTTAGCCGATGCAGGCATAGCAAACAACCAAGATCACGCCTGGTCGAAAGCAAGTCTACCAGCTAGCATACTCTGATCTAAAGTACTAACAGTGGGGATCGACCGGATCGTTACATCTATAATAGCGAGCTATAGACCAGATTCAACTAGTTAGTAAACCTTCTCAAGATTATACATGCCTTAACCATATACTATGCACAATCAAGATCGAAGTAGAACAGCTGATGAAACATAATCCGTCGCTTAAAGTAAGAACCGTCGCAATGTAACAAAAATAAACGATGGACTAAAAGAATGTAAGGCCGATCTAGATTGATCTCGATCGGGCAGGTTGATATTGCTAAAACTAATGATAATAGGAACATCAACAAGATCGGTAACTTAATGAATCTACCCGAAGGATGCCACCCTTAGATAGAGCCGATAACTTGACCTTAATCTAATTCGAGCAGTGGAGGTCGAACTTAACCGATGCAGCCGTACTTGAACTAGATAAGGATCGATAACTAGCTTATACCAGAGCTCGCAAGAGGTCGACCGGACCGATGCAGCCTTGCAAATAGAAGTATAAGCCATGACGGTACTTACAGACAAGCCGGAGGTCGGCCGTACTGATGTAGCCCTGCTTGTTAAAGAATTCGCCGAGATCTACACTACTCCTACTCATAAGGGTTGGCGTGGAGCCGAAAACCTCTTTAATACTGGATTGTGGGTACCCAATGGGCAGTCTCAGGCTCAATGCCAAGCCGTTCCAATTCCTCAATTTCACTTTCAAATTCGTCCATCATACTGGCGTAGCCACGAGAGCCGAGATGATGAGGATTCGTCGCTTTAAACGAGTTCTCCTTATTCTTCCTGCTCAGTTTCAAGTACTCCAGGGATTCCCTGTATTCCTTGAATTCCTGCCAAAAGTCCTTCTGCTTGGTGTACTCTCCTTTATCCCATTGTGGCTCTTTACCCTTGAGGATATATTGCTTGTACAATGTCTCCTTAAAAGTCTTGAACGTTGTCTCCATGATTTCTTTTGCTTTTTTCTTGACTTGCTCCTTGTCATAGCTAGGTGGGAAAGTGAAATATTGTGGGAACCTGTTATCTCACTGGTGTTAGGACCCGCCCCTCTTTTGGGTCAACATGTTGGCACGCGTTAAGCCACTCGAGAACATTTTTAATTGAAAACGCGCGGCACGCGTTAAGGCCATCACGGGTCGCGACTACCTTCGTCCTCTCACTACTGGAAACTTGAAATTCCTTGACGGTTTCGAATTTTTTTTATAGTTATTGCATAAACCGTCGTCAGGGTAAATAGAATTACCTTGACGATTTCTAGAAAACACACAGGAAAATTGATATTATCTTGACGGTTTCTGGAAAACACATAGGGAAATTAAATAACCGTCAAGGAAATTCCTAATTAACTGTGAATGCACATAACAGTCAGGGAAATTCCCAATTCCTTGACAGTTTTGTATTTTCTTGACAGTTATTCCATAAACCATCAGGGTAAATAGAATTATCTTGACAGTTTCTGGAAAAACACACATGAAAATACTAGAAACTCAAGAACATGAACAAAAGGTTTTCTCTTTTTAATCTGTGGTGAATTTTTTTAACTAGTGTTTCTCCCTCATACTAATATGTTTCTTTTTCCTAGTCCTGTCTAAAATCATGATCTACCAATTAACAACATTTGTTTGGATACCAATTATTGTTTCTTGGTTCTTTTGCATATGTTTGTTTTTCATTCATGTATATAGAGAAAGCACCTTGTGAAACAACCTTTATAAAATGTCTTTCATACTCCAAACTTTTTGTACATAAAATATGCTACATACATACTGTTGTGTAAATGTTTCAAAATTTTCGAAACCGATTTCCTATTTTCTATAGTCTAAATGAATTTCTGCGCGCTTATCAAAAGTAATTCCAAATTGAACAGTGGGTACCTACAATAAGGATCCAAGAACATTATAAAATTTATATTTATGCTAATATGTTTCACTCTTGGCCATATCCAGAGATGGATGAAAAAAATATTTGTATGTTGTGGATAATTCATCCTTCTATCTCTAAATTAACATAAAATAATTGTAATAATTTGAAACTTTGTTAGAAAAATCTACAAACTTGCTTGACAACATGTTTTTGGTATACAATGTTCCAATAAAAGTTTCAAATGTGTTTAAAAAAGAGGTGTCATACATTGTTCACAAATGGTATATCTCATGTGTCCATTTATGAACAACGTATAGTACCACCTTGTTCAAATGATTTAATTTTTTTATGGAAAGCATGCAGACAATTACTAATTTCCTTGTCGCGCTAGCCTGACGGTTATTTTTGATTTCCCTGACGGTAAGTGCACCATCCTGAAATTTTAGTTGTCTCTCCTCGTCCATCTTCCTCGGTTGCCCATTGGTGTATCAATTCTACTTCGTTCGATAAAATGTTTGAACTGATAAGCAAAGCTGATCTTGCAACAGGTGTTTACTTGTATTTTGTTAAGTGGTGTTCAACTGATCACGCACTTCCTCTCAGGCCATCACCCCCTATAGAATTTCGCCGCCAACGCTCCTTCTGGACATGAAAAGCTTCACTGATTTTCACGTTGACTGAAGAAACAAAAGATTCTATTCCATCAGTTAGCAGTGTCCGTTCAAAAAAAAAAAAGTCGGCACCAGTTTCACATGTCCCGTTGCAGGTGCCAGTGACACCGGTAGTAAAATTAGTAACCACCAGCATTGCTTGAGACAATTAGTTGATAGATACATCACAGTTAACCAAAGGTCTTAACATAATGTTACTTAGGCCCCCGAGAATCCCATGATCCGATCTCTCGTCCTAAACCAAAGGCTCCCTCTACGCATCTTGTGCCTCACGGTACAACCTGACAAAGAGTTTCTGCCTTGCTACACTGCAGGCGACAGCCTGACGACGTCCCAAGAGACCCTCATGATGCCACCATTCCTCGCCTCTGCCTCCTGGAACGTCCTCCCAGATGCCTCAGAAGGGTGTGGGAGCTCCCTCCACCTCTCGGTCCTGAGCTCAGTGACGTCGACCATGCAGACGCGGCTCTCCGCCGGGCTCTTCCCTGGTGTTTGGAAGACCTTGCCCCTGCCAACCTCCTTCCCGTCGCTGTCAACTAGCGAGACGAGGCGGCCAGGCTCCAGTGAGAAGGATCTCGTGAATGGGCGGACCAGCATTGTGTTCGGGGATAACTCTGCCTGCGATGTTTGCTCATTGCTGTCCGGGCTCACCAGTCTGCCTTTGGATAGAGCGTTCATCACCCTCGCAGGGGGTAGATAGTTGTCCTCTCCGGCACTTTCAGAAGACTCGCCAAGTTGGAGAGTAGTTGGTGTAGATGGCTTATCAGCATTCTCCGCCTCAAATGGTCCTCCTCTTCTTTTGCAATGCGAGCAAGCTTAGCTTTCCGATTGTTCAACCTGGAATTTGCATGAGAAAACTGTTACAAATAGCTGTAGATGAAAAGCACAAAAACAGTATTATAAATTTGAAGAAAGAAACTTCAAAGAAGGATGGCTAAAGAAGATTCAGTTTTACCAGTTTTTAAGTTGTGATGCTGTGATCTCTGGGCCCTACAAAAGCACAGCCGTGTTTTTCATAAATGAGAATGCATTCAGTAATTAGGCGTAAAAGAGAATGCCCCAAGTGAAAAATACCTGCAGACTTAACTTCTCTGACCAACTCTGCAATAGAACAGTGTTCTTGTGTCTCAGGCTCATCTACTAGAGCCTTCTCTAATTCATCTATTTGCTCATTATTCATAAGGGTCCGCTTCCTTCTCTTAGGTTGCCTCTCATCATACATACTACTCTCTCCTTTCTCATCCTCCTGGAGACCATTTTCTTTTGTGAGTTCTGGTGTTTTGAAATTATCCACACTGCTGGATGCTGGATCAAGATCCATTTTACTGCGCTGGTGTCCAGTGCTAACACTGGAAGCGACAACCGAAGAGCCACCACTGACTGTTCTTGCAACGCCAAGATGGACTAGGTTTTGACCAACTGCATTCTGCAGGAAACCACCATTTCTAGAGACACTGTTCTTTGGAGTCCCATCCTTATCATTTCCCTCTGGATTTATTGGAGGTATTGGTGTAGACACTTCCATGTTCTGCACATCCTGTTGTCATCAGCTTCCAATTAGAATCCAATTCACTGTGGACCCAATCACCAGTGATGTTTCATTGACCCACTCATCTAAGTATTTACCTTTGGAAGGTTATTCATTTTGGAGTCTGGAGTGCTTGTCCGTGTTAGCAAGGGCTGCTGCACTGGGTGAATGTCCTCCGTGCTTTCTGGTGGAGTATCATTTTGTCCCACCTGAAACATTCCATAATGAGGCCATCCAACAATTAAACAGAGACTGAAAAAAGGATTTGAAGCAAACTGCTGCAAATGCAAACTGAACATCCAATGCAAGTATTCAAGCATCAACAGCCACACAAGTAAAGAGAGCTTAATGTTTTTTATGGCTAATAAAATTTGTACTGAGCAGATTATGTGCAAATTCCTCTATTTAGTGTGCACGCTCAGCAGTTGTTTTATTATGATAAAGATGAGATTTCTCTGCCAACAAAATGTAACACTTCAGCACCATTGATAGGTCAAACACTTCAGTACCATTGATAGGTCATTATGATAACAATGAGTACAGAAAACAAACCTTTACTGCAACTTGCTCAACTTGTGATTTACACCAAGATTGTAGCTTATCAGAAAAATCACTGCCAAAAGGTAACCAAAGGCTTAGAAATATTATCAAGGCATTCAGAGCAGTAAATTATCAAGGAGTACACAATAAAGTATAATCAAAACCAATAAGTTCAGGCATGTAACCAAAAAAGTACATAATCGTCATTTGGGAAAACCAGGATACAATATAAAATACAGTAAAATGGTTTTAAGCACCTTAATAACACGACGTCTTCCACATTTAACAAATTCGGAACCAATGTTTTAGCATAATCAGACAAAGATCCTACAAAACCCACAGAAGTTAGACATGCCACATAATGGATATATATTAACCAACAGATAACTAGAAACAGCAAAACTAACTTTACCTAAGTTTCTACAGACTTTAGTGGCCTTGAAATCACTAGAAGCTGGCTCGTCTGCTGATAGTTTAGGACTCCCAGACACCAAGTACTTTTGAAAGTTCAGAAGAAAAAGATCCCTTTCTTGCTCTGTTGACAGAACAAACAGAAATTATTTTAAAGAATGTGTTGTGAATAATTAAAACTCATAACATGTAGGAATAGTCTAACCTTCACAAATGTTTGGAACAAAAATATGCAAATTTGCTATTATTTTCACTACACATGATGTTCTTGTCTGTGCATATGCCATTGAAGGCAGGCTAGGGCGAAAAGGGCATGAATAGTTAGCTTTAGCTTCAGTCAACACATTATCAGAAGCTAACAGCGCCACCTCAGATGCACCAAAAGGATCATAATCTAGACTTGCATCTTCCTCAATTGCTGGTACGTTGACAGAGCACCAACTTGAAACAAATTCCTCATGAGGAGTTGCTAAAATCTGGGTTAAAAACGGGACCTGCAAAATTTATGAACAAAAAGAAGTTGAAGCAAGACATTATCTTGGCTTAAAAACACATCCACTTGCTAAGGAAATGCAAGATATAATTGTTAACACAAGTAGTTAAGCAAAAAAACTTACAGTGTTAGTCATAAAGGAAGATCTGAAGTTTGAATCATCAGAGAAGACATCAACAAGACGCAATGCACTGATAAGCACAGATCCCATGGGGTAAATCTTACCCTTATCATGAGAATCAGAATTTATGTTTTGTTTTCTTCCAAATGCAATCTTCAGCAAATTAAGAACCTGCAGTAACCGAGCAAAATCAAAATTTGGAGAAAGCGAATATTTTTTTTAAGTAGCAGCAGATACAGAGGAATATATTCCTGGGCAGTGGTCAGCCCCAGTAGAACTGACCTCTAGAGCCAAGGTTTGCCCTAGCCGCCTGCTGTTTGGGTTAGTGGCAACTTCATCGAGGTAAGAGACACTTTCAGCCTCACAAAGTTGCAACAGCTGGGAAATTGAATATATCAACAATTTAATCAGTCACTTAATATAGGTTTGCACTACTACGCTCCAATTCTGGTAAATCGTGTGCAGTTAACTTACAATAGAAAGTATCTTTGCCTTCAGCCTGGAAATAGAAGCAACAAGATCGGTTGATTGCTTCAAACATTCAGGGACAACTAACTTCAGTATAGTGTGAGAAAGTGACAGTATGCCTCCATTTCTAGAGAGTTCCTGCATTAAGTGAGAAGTTCCTTAACATGCAAGCTTCCAAGAGCATTATATTTAATAACTGTGTAGTAGCCAATTACAGATTTGGCCCTACTATATTTTTCAACAAAAATGTAACTTCACCCAAAACTAGTACATAAGGTTTCACACAGTATTCAATTTAATAAGGTTCCAACTAGAAGATGAACCATGTGAACTACAGTGGGGGGAATCATAGTCAACATGATAACTTCTATTTTTGATAATTTAATAAAGTTCCAAGCACAAGAAAAGATGGACCATGTGAACCAGTGGAGTGAAATCATAGTCAACATGATAACTTCTATTTTTATCATCAAATGGTATAGCACAACTACTAATCTCTTACTAAGTCAAAATGGAGAAGAAAAGGCAATCACACCAAGTATTCTTTTTCCCCTCAATAGCATAAAAAATTATATGCCTCTAAAGATAGGTGAGACCTTATTTTTTAAAATCCGATCTCGAAACAGCTTTTGCTGGCACAACAACAAGAGAAATTGCAGTGATGCTTCACACTGTTGGCAGATGAAGTGAGCACGACGACATTCCAAAGAACCAACATGAAAGGAACCAGAGCCCATTGATGATAATCTGATATTTAACAGCCTCACATCTTCATGCAAACTATCAAAGGCCACATCCATAAAGATATCAACCTGAACATGAATCATTAAATGTTAGTATGCGCACCAATGATTGAATTATGTGTTCCTTAGAGCAACTCCAGCAGTAGCCCCCAACTTAGAGCCCCCATTTTATATTTGGGTGCCTCTCCCTATTTTTGTTGGTCCAAATTTGTGCTTCCACTCCAGCTGTAGCCCCAAAACGAAGGCCCCCAAATCCATATTAGTAGACAATGACATAAGGGGCCCACTTATCATTGGGTCAAATCTATCTTCTTCCCCTGAAATCCACCCCACATACCATGACGCGTGCAGAACGAGCACTCGCCTGTGCCGGCAGGGCTGCGGGGCCGAGCTCGCGCGGCCAAGCAGAGGGGACCGAGCCCGCACGGCGGAGTAGAGGGAGGCCCGCACGGCGGACCAGAGGGGAGCAGCGGGCCCGCGCGCACGCGGCGGCGGCGGAGAAGGGGACGACGCCGGAGAGGGGAGGTCGCAGATGCCATGGCAGGGGGCGCGCGCTCGAGCTTGCGCATGCCCAGGTGGAGGAGAAGGGGCCAGGCGCCATGGCAGGGCGGCGCGAAGGGGAGGAGCCGGCGAGCCCTCCGTCCCTGTCTTCCGTGGATCTGGTCGCGCAGAGCTCGTCGGAGGAAGCCACCGGAGGGAGAGGAGTCGCGCCGCCGGTGCTCGATCTCGCTTCCGCGCAAGGGAGGAGAGGGAGCCGCGCCGCAGGTGCTCGCTGCCGCACTAGGACACCGCGACGCTCGTCGGAGGAAGCCACCGGAGGGAGAGGAGCAGCGCCCGCACGGATGGGGGCCGGGTTGTTGGCCCAACCAAAATGGGGTCTAGTGAGAGGATTTGGGCGCCCACACAAATTTGGGGTCCGTAGTAGGGGCCCTGCTGGAGTTGGATTTTTGACCTGAGCCCCCATATTTAGCTATGGGGGCTCAAGTAGGGGCCCTGCTGGAGTTGCTCTAAGCAGATACACATTGCTAAATAGCATATATATTGAAAGAATAGCATTATGAATCAGTATGTGTACAACGGGGTATCAAAAAGAGAAACAAGTGCTCAGATAGAATTTTTCCAAACAACATACACATATAAAAACCCAAATCACAGGATCACAAAAATATACACATGAAAAAACTTGAATCATAGCATCATATAACACACAGAACATAAACTGGGCAATAGTCAGCCAAGCATTAGCATAAACTACGTCTCTTATAAGCATAGCCTTTGAGGCATTGGGGGCACGCCTGTACATCTAGGCAACAAGGTGTTACTGTGGTGCCCTGTGGCATTGGGGGCATGCCTAGACACCTAGGCGACACCTCAGAAATCATGCTTATACGACAGTAAGAACAACAAGGGATCTATTGTACTGATATAACCCAGATAAACGAACTGAGTTTTAACAGCAATGTTAATGTGAAAAGTAAGAAGGCATGTACGTATGTGTACAAAATTCAAGCAGCATAACTCCAATGCAGAAAACTAGCCTCATGTCGACTGCAAGATTTTACAGCAAGTTTGGATTAATAATTGACATGGCAGCTTGCAGTGATTGCTATCAATGTTATCAAATCGTCTAACCGATCCTAGTCTCCATGGCAGCGATCAGCCCAACAAATCGTGGCTAATCATGAGTAATCGTGACTAATCGTAGTGCATAACTGATCGCCATGGCACCGATCAGCCTGACTAATCACGGTTAGTCAGAAGACTTGATAACATTGATTGCTATGTGATTCAAGCACAAAATGCCACACAAGGATAGCTAAAATAACTCTGGAATAAAACATCAAGAGTAAGGTTATCACTCAAAATCATGCTACATGATTATATTTCATGGAGAGGATAAATCCAAGAATCAACCTTTGTTACCATGAGATTAGTGTAGAGAAGCTGTTAGCAAAGATGTAGTAAACAAAACTTAGCAGATCAGGAACCAAAATAAAAGCAAAGACAACATGGGGTCTTTTGCTTTAGAAATAAGGTGGATGGCAAAATTCATAAGTTATGTTTCAGATAAAATTAACATATCACAAGAAATTGAAGAGTGGTCCTATGATAAACCCACATGTTACCTTTGGATGTGCAAGCAGAATATGGACAAGTTCATGCCACTGGGAAGAGAAGTAACTTGTCAACAGATGAAGACTAGCTGCTACAAGTGACGCATGCACAAGCGGAGAAGTGCCATCATTATTCTCCTATTTTAAAAACAACAGCTGTTACCAGAATTAGTATCAGATGATAATTCAAAGTGGAGCACACATGAATGAATAAAAACATTTTGGTTTAACCCATTGAAACCTTCTTCTGTTCAGCAAGAATAGAAAGTAGGAAGAATATCAGGTCCATGACTTGTTCGGATAATTTGACATCGTCAAGAAGAACCTGCAAAGGAAATATTGCTGTGAGCTAGGTGCCCATCATTTAGCTAAATCAAATCAACCAGAAGATAAAATCCAAATATAAAACAGGTTGAGCTCGGTTGGACAAAGTCTATCAGCCTAATGACAACAAAGAAGTTTCATTACATTCCATAGGGCCTCAAAGTAAATAACTTGAATTATCCAAGCATCATACGTATGTGATGTAATTCACAAGCTAGCTTTTAACATGGAATATTAAAATCCTCAAATCATATCATAACCCATAAGAAACATAAGAATGGTATCATATGTTAAACTTGTGCGAGATAATAAAAGGAGTAACCTGCTCCAGTCTAGCATGGCGGGATGCTAGATCAGACAAACTATGCAAAAAGCGCATGCCACGAAGCACATATGTCAAGTCCGGGCCTTGCCCAAGTTCCAAACATACAGCAAGGAGATGAAGAGGAAGCGAGGACACAAGTTTTTCCATGTCCACCTACAACAAAGAACAGGTGTCAGGGAATCAGGCATTGCAAGTTTGCAACATATGCAAACATTTGTACATACAAGTACCTGCTTTGGACCTCCGTCTTCTGTCTTGGACCGCAAAACAAAGTTGTCTGACTCCTTCAGCATCTCCCCAAGTTCTTTTGAGGTTAACCCACTAAGCTCTTCAACGGCAGACACCATGTCTATCATCTGAACCGAAAACAACAGGGAAACTCTTGTGATCCAGCAAGGCCATTGAGAATTCTATGGTGAAAATCCTACTTATTCTAATCTTTCATAAGTTAGAACAAATATTTCTATTTTTTGTACAGTAATCAAGAAGTGGCAAAACAACATCCTGGCTTGCAGATGAATTCACCCTGTTTGGCACATCAAGCAGTATGTATCTATGATATTTGAAAATTATCCATTTGAACTCAGTCATTTCCTAGTGTATATTGATGAAACCCAGTTCAATAATATCTTTAGAGTTAAATGCACCGTAGGTCCATTAACTTTTGGTGGTGTGTCATCTAGGTCCATCAACTTTCAAACTGCATTTTAGGTCCATTAATTTTTGGTGCCGTGTCATCCAGTCCATCAACTTTCAAACTGCATTTTTGATCCATTAACTTTTGGTGGTGTGTGTCATCGGGTCCATCAACTTTTAAATTGCATTTTGGGTCCCTAAACTTTTTAGCTGGTTCACCGTAGGTCCATACCCCTTCGTTTAGCTTAATAGATCGACATGGCACGCCAAAAAAAGCGACCACCGTGGAGTACAAGACGAGATCACCATCCGGAGATAATCTTCAATCTGAAAAACCTGATGGGATCACCGTCTAGGGTTTCTCGAGCGGCGGCTCGACGGGGAATAAACTCCACAATAAAATCCAGTCTAATCTACCCGGTACAAGGCCGAAGGCCACAGGTATAGGCACGCAGGCCACCTGACCCAAACAAAACTCGGACTACACAAGCCCAACTAGGACCGATTGACCCTGAGTCCCTAATTCGGCTAACATGCATGGCACGTCCAAACGCAGCCACCAATTTGATTCACGTACACAGGTGCACGCAGGCACTAAAAGCTAGATGCTAGATAAAAGATCGTGTATCACAACTGGATAGGAAACTAATGCATGGAAATAATAAAATACTACGGCAAGGATGCTAATCACGTTGGGAAAATTCCTTTGATGATCTCCACCTCTTTAGAATTAGTACTGATGTATTTTGTTGGCTTCATTTTCTCCTCTTTTCCACGCAATAATAAGGCACCTCTATAAAATATCTTTGATGACAGTCCAGCAGTTATAAATTTTTTCATGTCCACAATATATTTATCCTTACAAATAATAGTCCCAAATTTAAGACCAGAGGATATTAACGAATTACCAGCTGCTACATTTGAATTATTGCTAGACAAGTCTTCATGAATCTTGAGGAGCTATGGACTCATCACCTACTCCACGGTGGCGGCTTATTTGGCGTGTCATGTCAAATCTATTCGCTAAACGAAGGGGTATGGACCTACGGTGAACCAGTTAAAAAGTTTAGGGACCCAACAATGCAATTTGAAAGTTGATGGACTGGATGACACACCACCAAAAGTTAATGGACCCAAAATGCAGTTTAAAAGTTGATGGACCTGGATGACACACCACCAAAAGTTAATGGACCCAATAATGCAGTTTAAAAGTTGATGGACCTAGATGACACAACACCAAAAGTTACCTACGGTGCATTTAACTCATATCTTTAATAGCACAGTTCAATAAACTTTTTTCACTCAGCCTCCATACCCTATACATAGAAAAAATGAGGAGTTTTAACTACCTACAAAAGAATTACTAGCTTGAATTCAGAGTTTTATTATATTAGGCAACAAACATTTCCAAGGAAACTTGCATGAGTAGTGCTGCTTAGCTTAAATGAGAAATGCAGGAAATTTGCATGAACCGGTTGTACACACCCAAATCACTTCCATCCAAAGGTTATATGCATACCAGCCCAGCCCATGGCAGACCCAGTGGCACATTGGCCAGTTCGTACTTCGTAGTGGATTAAATCATAAAAAGACCCTAAAACCTCACAATAATATAATTTATACTGTACAATTTAACTCCCTCGCTACTGTTCTTCGCATCTGTCCTTGTAGGAAACGGGGGCTGCAGTGGATTCGTAAACTGATTCCATAAAAGAGAAGGCAAAAAAAAATGAAAAACAAAGGTGCTCTTTTTACCCCCAAATCATACAGCGCACCTGTGAGCATCAAGCTACGAAATGTATCAGCTCATCAAATCCATCTCAAAAAAAAAAAAAAACTAACCCCGGGAAGCAAGCTGCAGCTAGCGAGTACGCAACGGACCACGCGGCGGCGGCGGCGGCGGTGGGTCGTTGGGCCGCGTGAGACCCGGGCCGCGGTGGGGGAGGAGAGGGAACTGACCTTGAGCCGGCGTAGCGACGACGCAGCAGAGCCGGAGGCGCGCGGATCTCCGTCCGTCCGTCCGCTCCGCACCAGCCCAGCCGGCGGCGGTGGATGGGGACGAGAGGGAGGAGGATTTGGCGGTCGGCGCGGCGACCTTTGCTCCGGCGGCGGGTGGCGGAGAGGGGCTGGCGGAAGCGGCACGGCCGGCGTGGGGTGGGGACGGGACGGGGAGGGGAGGTGAGCACGAGGTGGGACTGAGCTTTCGTTTATTTTTTCTAGGGCTACTGAGTTCTTTTTGGCATCTGCTGCTGGCGGTTGTAACGAATTTGGAGAGCCGAGCAGAACGGAGGACATCCGTTGCTGGAATAGCTCAGTTGGTTAGAGCGTGTGGCTGTTAACCACAAGGTCGGAGGTTCAAGCCCTCCTTCTAGCGTCTAATCAGAATAAGTTTTTTTTCTCCTTCTTATCTATCTTAACCAAAAGAAATCCCTAAATCATGCATTAGAATATTTTTATTTTGATCCTTCTTATCCTATTTTTCACTGCTTTGACATTAAAATATCTCAACCAAAAGAAATCCCCTAAATCATGCATTAGAATATTTTTATCAAAATAATTCTTTTCTCATTGGTACCATAGAAAAAAAGACCTCAATGAATAATGATTAAAATATTTTTATCATTCCAAAAGGAATGATTTGGAAGAAAATCAACTATTTTTTTCTAATTACCATATCATTCCAAAAGGAGTTGTCATTATGCAATATGCAGATGACCCAGCTTTTATGTCTAAAGCATGATTTGGAAAATGCAAGGAATCTTAAGTTGTTATTTTATTTGTATGAGTTGATGTCTGAATTCAAGACCAATTTTAACAAAAGTGAACTTCTTGCTATCAATGGTGATCAAGACATGTAGAGCCTATGCTACATTATTTAATTGTCAGATAGGTCACTTCTGTATCAAAGTACTTGAACGATAAACATAATCATTCAAGTATAAACATAATTATTTTCCAATCTTTTTTGGCCCATGGAAAATAATGGGGTCCTAATCAATGATAACTAGGAGAATTTGTTGCGGGGATTTCAGATAATTTAAAAGAAATTAGACTATTTATATTTATAGTTATATGAATGAAATTATCTTAAATTAATTTTGGTGAATGGTTTAACACATCGATGTGGACAGCTAAATGCATGTTAGTGGATGAAGAGATAACTATCATAATTACATGTGCTAGTTGGCTATAATTGCAAGTTCTAGTGGAATGTTGATGTGGATAACTTACATGCTGAGAGAAATCTCTAGTGGGATTTAGCTTTATAAGGTATAATTACAAGTTCTAGTGGATTGTTGATATGGATAGTTTGCATGTTGAGATAAATCTCTAGTGGGTTTATATAATTGCAAGTTCTAGAGGATTGTTGATGTGGATAGCTGGTATGTTGAGAGAAATCTCTAATGAGGTTTAGCTTTATAAGGCTATAATTGTAAGTTATAGTGGATTGTTGATGTAGATAGATTGCATGTTGAGAGAAATCTCTAGTGGAATTTAGCTTTATAAGAGTATAGGACATGATTTACTAAAAATGGGTTGTTGGTTTATCTTTGTTACTTTTGTGATCACTGACAGGAGGAGACCGTAATTCATATGTTCTTTAAATGTCATGTTGCCCAAGTGGTTTAGGCTGTTGTAGCTATCTGTTTTCTAATAACATTCCTAAGAATCTAACTCAATCCTTGGCATGTGTAAAGAAGTGGTTGCCAAACGGAAAGAAAAATTCATGCATTTGGGATTGCTGCCCTATGTTACGTTGGGCAATTTGGAAGACATGTAATAAAGCATGCTTTGAAGAAAAATATTACGAAGCCTTTTGAAATTGTCTATTTCACTTGTGCACTAATGCATATATTGGTGCAAGATTAAGGATACATGCTAGAGGGGGGGAGTAGATGGTTTTAACTAAAATCACAAACACTAGACAAATTTATTTGGTAACACAAGAGAGCCCTAAATACTTTTTGCTAAGTTAGCTGAAGGTTGGCAACTTAGGATGACAATTCAATAATTTAATGTCTAAGCATGTTAAGTGCTTAAAGTGAATTGCATAAGTGGAAATTGAGCACAAGAGATAACAGAAAAAATTATCTTGCGGTACCCATGACTTACGATCATCCCTAACCTACATTGAGTTGGATATTCAAAGTTCAATCGCTCATCTATTAAGGCACAACTTGATCTTGAGCCAGTTAGTACCAACTAGGGTGAAAAACGGTACAGATATTTTCCGACGTATTCGAGACCGAATCTGTTTAGAGGGGTTCAGATCTATCCGTATCCGAGTCCGAATATTCAACATCTGATACCGTATCCGTATCCGAATACTTAAATCGCATATTTATAATGTCGAGATCCAATCGTATCCTATCTGTCATGGTTGATACTATCCCTATTCGAATCCGAATCTAGACAAAAAATATAAAAAACAAATGTAATATCATTGATATCTGTCCGTATCCGATCCTTTTTCATCCCTACCTTCATACCCCGATTCTAATAGAATTGCTTTTCATCGCTCTGGCTGGTGAGCACAAAATCTCGTACAACCAACTCTGGGACAACACAATCTTCTTTTAAGTGCTCCACGGATCCACAAGCTCCAAGCCATCTAGCAACATGAACCTCTAAGAGTAACAAGCTAGCGACACTTGTTTAAAAATTCTTTAGTGCCACAAAGCTCAGACTCTTGATGCAATGCGCTAGGATGCTCTCAATC